GAATATTTTGAAGATAAATCTACTAATAATATATATATATATATATACTTTATATATGAGTATAGTAACTATAACACACTTTCTACGCGTAGTAATTCTCGAGAAAATAATGTAGCTACATTAGTATGTTGTTTGTCTTAATCTAATTAGTAATCTAGATCATATTTCAGTCTACATAAGTAACACAGTTTTATTTTCAACCTCATAATGTCCCACAGCTGGGTATAGGCCTCCTTTTTACAGTTAAAGCCCACCACTCATCAAATGCGGGACAAGGTAAAAATATGTAGTTTTTTAAACGATAGAAGAGGACATACAAGTTCACTTGAAGGTGGATGTGTAAACAAGATGTGCTGTCGATCTATGTTCTCTTTGGATAGTGCTTCGTTCGCTACCAAGATAATATTTTTTGTAATTTAAATATAACAATATTAGGCAACATTATGTACAAACACATAACACGATTCAAAGCTTTCAGACATTTGAAAATCACAATGCAAAACGTAATGCTAAAGTTCAAACGATTTTACAAACCATAAAACAGTTACACGTACTGACAGAAACGTCCTTTACACGTAGTTGGGTTTATAAACAAGTTTCCAGCCTGAATACATTGATTCCTGATGAATATGTAACTAGCCTGGTCAGCAAGTGAGCTTCGTATATCAATCATCGACATCAATCAATCCTATCTGTATGATAAATGTTTATCTAATGCCTTTAAAATTACATCGCAAATATAATACTTTCGTACCAGTATGGTTCTTATAGTTTGAAGTGCAAAATCCCGTTACCGCGTAGGCAAACACACTTATGTGTCCGTTTCACTGATTGATTCTATTTACCAGCTAGTATTTGATTAGACATCTATGGATTGCCAGACCGAAACAATTTTTCGTTTCACCGAGATTCGCACCCAGGACCTCGAGCGCATAGGCCCCTATTCTTATAAGTAAATACGTAAGTCGTACATTAAATAAAGATATATTTATAAGGAACGCAGTAGCGATATTGCTATTCTTATTATTTAGTTCAGATCAATATTTTAGCAACTAGCTGACGTTTTTAGTTTTAGTAATTTTATTTATGCCCGTTATCTTCCTCCTTAGCGTAGCCTGTGTCTTAGAAAGAATATCATCACTAATATTTATTTATTACAGCTTAATTATTCATAATATATACCACAAAAGCTACAAGGGTTAAATTGTTACGTACTAACTTAAAATAAAACGTATTCCACACAACCTGAAGTACAGGATAAAAGAAAAAAATATATCAGTTTTAAATTAAAAATAAATGTGTTTTAATATGTTGCTAATCTCGTCATTAAAACTCTTCGGTTTCTAAATTTGAATTTTTACTTTTATATTTGTGCTATAAATCCTAAACAGAAAATTAATAACATCAAATCAGATCATATCACTTATCTACTAGTAGACTAGATTAACAATTGCATTGACATATCTAATATTGCCATAAAGCCCTAGTTAAGTGCCATAATACGTGAATTTATTGTGCGGAGCAGCAATTAGACCTATTACGATCCTGACCTCGTATACTGTAATAAGTTACGGATTTGCTTGCTTCACACAAACAATCTAAACGACATGGTGTTTATTTGTGGTAAATTAGGTAATTACAATGTTGGTGTTTACATATCCTTAATATAATTGTTATTCATAGTACATATTATATTAACACTACAATTACATTGTATACATATATTTCTACTGCTGCTTATTTTATTCAATACAAGTTATGCGATATATTAAAATAAAATTAATGTTTGTAAATAGCTATCATGTACGAGATTATTCGAAAGCTAAATAACTAAAATTCATTTTTATAACGAACGCTGTCGACTGTAAGCGCATGCGTCTTAATTTTGCCCAGTTTTCGTTATGAGCCGTGTTAATTCTAACAGCCCTCCCTAGATCTTAGCTACTTAATTTGTACTATAAATTCAACCCTCCAATCAAATACTTAATATACAAAAACAATAACGAGAAAATAACTTGCGTTATTCAATTTCAGTCATATTATGTACGGCAACACGTGGATCACTTTAATTATGTGATCAAATAATAGAAAAAAAAATTATAATATACATATTAAATATACTCTTATCAAATCTTTCTATGGTGAAAAATCTAAGAGTTGTAATGACAAAAAAAAACAAATGACACCAAAACGATTGAACACGGAGTCCCACCGTGACGAACTAGAACGAACTTTACAGATTATCTTGCAAATTGCTCGGTGAATAAATGAAAACAGATGGTTTAATTGCTCGTGCAGTGGCTGCAGTGAGCTGTTCATTTTCATAGACAATACGGGAATAGATTGGCGCGCACTGAATACTACGCCTATTCAATCCTACGTTTAGATGACAATGCTGTTCGCTTTTTTTCTCTTTTAAACTTCATGAAGGTTTCTCTTGTGAAAAGATTTCAAATTCTTTATTTTATACATTTTATTTAATAACAAAGGTTAATTTATACCAAACTAGTAATGTGCTCGGTCACGGCAAATAATTCTTACAAAAGTATTTTTTGGAATTGAGAATAACCAAACAGTTGTCAATGCAATCAGAAGTGACTAAAGACTAAGTCTTAAATTATATTACATGAATAATGAGATTGGATTGGATGATATTACAATTTGAGGGTTTGTTTTTGATAAACAATATCGTGAAGACAAAATGACGCAATAAATAAGTTTATTTCATAATTAACTATATACAGAATTGTCTTAAGTAAACCAATAAAATTACAAATTCGTAATATTTTATGTACAATATTGAAACTATAGCTTCTTTTCTTTCATTTCTTCAAAAAATTCTAATAATATTATGCCACTATGCATTCGGGAATACTTCTAAACTAGACTGATTCGGAGCCATTGAAGGGCAATTTTTCTTTTTTTTAAGATTTTTTATTTAATTTTTGTTGCGCACTCTTTTGCTTTCGTCCGCACATTTTGTGGTTATGCTCGTCCTTACAAGATTTTCTGGTACCTTGCACCATTCCACCACAGTCTGCACAATGTCGTTGACAAGGGCTGGCTCCAGTTTCTTCTTGGCAGCTTTGTTGGGAAACGCGGGAGAACGTTTCGAGGAAAAATAGCGAATGAACTTTATTACCCCTATTGTTTTCTACTTTTCAGAAATCTGTTGTTTATCTGCTAATCCTCGCTTAATGGGCTTATTGTTTGTACCCGTTCCAATAGGTACCTTAGCTTTGCAACGGTTCCGCTAATAACATAATTTTAAGAACGTAGGTATCAACTATATAACTTTTACTATACAGCGGGGCTTTTACTATAAAGCTATATTGTACGATTTCGTTATATTAGTAATATTTTACAATGAGACATAATTAACGGCCTTATACGTACCTGCCTAGCTAGTTCTTTTACAAGTTCACAATAGTAATTTATTTTTCTTTTCAAACAAAGCCTCAACATTATAAGTACTACAGGTTATCATTGAATTTCTGATAAGTACAGGCATGAACTATTACCAATTCCATTTAAACTTTTGTCGTAGGATCAAGTTGTTTACTCTAAGTTTTAAGTGAAGAATGCATGAGATCCAATAAATTCAGACGACTGTCAGTCTTAGGTCAATTGCAATTTACACGTATATCTAATAATCTGAAAGCATTTGTTTGATATATACGAGCTTGTTTTGTGTAGTACCTAGTATTGTATGAATATATTTCATGTATAATAATGATTCTTCATATCGCCCTGCTATATCAGTTGTCCCACAAAGTTCGCTTCTGGGGCCTGTTTTATTTATCATATTTATCAACGACATCACTACTTTTTTTAAACACTCTAACTCTAAACAACAGTCATGAGGCTTCGATACTTAAATCAGAACTAAATAAAGTCTAAGATAAATGGTTTCAATAATAAAATATAAAATAACTTTTAAGCCTCACATAGAAAATGTTGTTAACAAAGCTTTAAAAATGTTATTATTAAAATAGTAAGGAGTTTAGGAACCCTGAAACATAAAATATTTTTTTTTTCGTAGCTTACTGGAATATTATACTCTGTTGCCTGGAGATCACACTATGCAACGCACAATCTATTGGAAAGGATTATATCTATAAGGACCGACTTATAAAAAATCACTCTCGTCTTATAGCACTCGTCTCTGTCGATTTAATATGTTGTCCTTGGAAAATCGTCGTAATATAAAATTGTCTTTTTTTGTGTCTAAATAATTTCATTTAAGAAAAAATTTAACATTGGAGTTCCATTTGGAAACTTTATTATTTTTTACATGTTATTGCACATAAGGCACTATATAATTTAAAAATCGAAAATAATTAGCTCAATTGGTAGAGCAACAGCACGGAACGCTGACGATGCCGGTTGAAGTCCTGCCCGAGTCGAAATTTTTTACAATTTATTTTCGATTTTTAAATTAGAGTTCCACCTAAACACGCCCGAGGGCCGATCACACCTTTTGTGCCACCCCAACGAAAATCGGTATATGGATCGCATTCGCATATGTGAGGCTTAAGAGTAATTTTATATTTTATTATTGACACCATTTATCTTACACTTTATTTATAATAATAAATAGAAAAGTTTGCTTTGTTTTCACTTGTAAAATTACAAACAAAAACTTGACAATTGTTTGAAAGTGTTTTGTTTGTAATTTCACCAAAGTAATTTTGTAGTTATCGGTGTTACGCACAGCTTCTTTTATTGCTTTTATATTTTTAGTACTGAACTAATGCCGTTTTGTATATATTGATCATCTTTTTAAAGATAAAAAGAGGTCAGAAAATTTTGATTAAATTTTAGGCTTCGTTTTTAATAAATAATATTGTAAAAAATAGATACGAAATACAAATGTTACAAATTTATTAAAAAACAACCTTACAGTCCATACATAAATATGTATATAAATTACATACACTTAATTAAAAAAATCCTAACAATATTATTCGACTATGCACGAAGAGATTTAGCTTAACAGACTAGTCTGACTCCGCGCCATCGGGGGGCGAAATATTTTCTTTCTTTAAAGTCTTCCTTTTTTTCTTATCTACTTTTGCGTTGCGCACTCTTTTGCTTTCGTCCGCACATTTTGTGGTTATGCTCGTCCTTACAAGATTTTCTGGTACCTTGCACCGTTCCACCACGGTCTGCACAATGTCGTTGACAAGGGCTGGCTCCAGTATCTTTTTGGCAGCTTTGTTGGGAAACGCCGGAGAACGCTTTCCAGTCAGAGAGTGGGTTGCAAGAACGTTGCGAGGAAAAACTGCTGTTAACAATTTTCTTGTGGAATTGGTGTAAGAAGACCAGTTCATGTTTTTCAAAAGCTTAGCTGGCACCACAGCATTGCCGTCTCCTATAGACACCATTTCTCCGCTCATTTGGTTCACAGTTTTTATTTTTGTCTTGGGATAGCTTTTTTTATGCTTTTTAGAACGTAACTCCATTGCATCGAGCTCATTGGACATTGAATGGACTTGCGATTGCAGACACTCAATTTTTTTTAAAAGGCCTTTAATTATTTTATCCAACTTCTCGATTTCAAGTGAACGATTATCATTTTTTGTTGGGACTAGTCCTTCTAGCTCGTACCTTTTTAACAAAGGCTCTTCTGTTTCGTCAGTTACGCGAGTCCAGGTGTCACAAGCGTTAAAATGGTAGACTTGTCCGCTAAGGTCTAGTAAAGTTTTGGCGGCATCTAATTTCGATATTATGTTTAAACGCATATCGCTGCTGTCGTTTTGCACTTTACTTTCGGAGGAGTTCATGATGTTCGTGTCTTCACTTCGAATTTAGCAAACTCTACTGATCACTTTAGCAAATGACTTTCAAATGAAACCTCAGTAGAGGGGGTTGTCTTTTGTTTAATCTGCTGATTTTCCTATCAGGTAAAAATAGCGAATGCACTTTATTACCCCTATTGTTTTCTACTTCTCATAAATAGGTTGTTTATCTCCTAATCCTCGCTTAATAGGCTTATTGTTTGTACCCGTTCCAATAGGTACCTTAGCTTTGCAACGTTTCCGCTAATTACATAATTTTAAGAACGTAGATATCAACTATATAACTATTACTATTCAGCGGGGCTTAAAACTAATTTGTACGTTTTCGTTATATTAGTAATATTTTGCAATAAGACATAATTAACGGTCCAATACGTACCTATCTAGCTAGTTCTTTTACAAGTTACAACACAATAAGCAGGATTAACCACCTTACGGCGATATAACTGGGTATGCTTTTGTAGTCGTACTTATAGGATAAAAATGTGTAAAAAATCAACTTAAAATAATAATAAATACATTGTTTTCAGTTTATTATATGTAATATTAAATGAACAGAAAAAATACGAGCGTTATCACTTGTAAGATTACAAACTTGATTTGAGATTTTTGTAGATATATTTAAATACAAATTCTCATATCTATGCTAATATATAAAGCTAAAGAGTTTATTTGTCATCGCACTGTGTCTAATAGAAACGAAGAGACAACGGAAAATGTGAAAAAACAGGGCTAATTATTAATTTTTGTGGGTTTACATTGCGTATGCCGTTAAAATTGTTTAAGGCACCAAAAATGTAAATGAAGAAAAATAATAATCTATAAAAATTACCGCCACATTATATGTCTATCTTTTAGAAGTAACTAGCAAGAACGACGGGACGCGACCGACGTGCAGCTGAAATTTATAAGATTAAGATATTTGCAAAAGTTTTAATGCCCAAAATAACTATTCTACGCAGATAAAGGCTTTTTGAATACAAGTAATAAACAGACATTGAAAATACTAAAAGCATATTTTCTTTATACACATAGTAAACCACTAAAGATCAACTTTAAAAAATCGAGGACTTAATGCAAAGGTTTAAAAAAAAACGGTATAAACTCAAGGACATTTTTAATGTGCACAAAACATTACAATTACATTAGATTGTATTGTATTAAGATTATGTTATTCTACCAATGATGATTATATCCTAAGATTTTATATAGAAGAAATCTTCAACTTTCAAAACTATTTGAAGCGTTAACCAGTTTTATTCTACCTTCCGTGCCCCATTAGAAATCGTCGCCCGGATAACTGAATTAAAGTACGCAGTTTTAGTTCAGACATGTCGAGGTACTAATGAACTAACCGTGTTATGAATATAACTGAAATAAACTTCTCATTCAATAACTAAGTACAGTTGTTTTGGACAATGGAAAGTTCGCTTTGTTCATTCCACGCTCGTTCTGTTTTGGTTTACTTAAATATTCAATGGAAAGATGTATACTTCAATTGTACTATTAATTATTAATAAGTATTTATTCATTGTCGTTCTAATATTATAATTGCTATTTCATATATTTAAGTAAGTGTATCTTTATTAATTAAATTAATGTTAATTTTATTTTATATACATCGTCAGAAAGATATTTAAAAAAAAGGGTTTAAATTCTAAATATGTTTCCAAGATTATCTATTATTTAAGCATGTTTTGTCATGTTGTTAAGGTATGAATAAATATATCAGCCAGCTTTTATCAATCTTTGTTACACCTCCGGACCTGCTAACAACCTTTCCGAACTTTAATTATTGTCATAAAAAAAAATTACAATAAAAGAAAACAATTGACATATGTCAATTGTCATCGCTCATGCCAAAATAATCGAATATCCAAGAAATTATTACAGATAACAATTAGTAAACAAAATAAGAGTTTGATGTAGCAAAACATTTGACATAATATCAATGAAATCCAATTGGTTGATAAGATTCGCGAAATTGGTACCAAGAATTCTTTAACAATGGTATCTTAAAACACCTACATTTACCAATACTTAGAGGAGAATTTTAGAAACAACATGTATGTTATTTCAACAAGTGCTTAAATACAAATCTTGTAATGTGTTTTATTATAGAAAACTTTATTTTTATACATTTTCTAATAGGATACCGGATTATTTTCATTCTTTTTGTAAATATATTTTTATTTTTTGTTTTACGCGAACTCAAGTACCCAAATAACAAAGTTCACTAACAAAGGCTCCGCCCATAGAGATGTTCTAATTCTGAGTGTCTTTGTGCGGGAGGACTGACGAATGTTTTCCTCCGCGAGTTTCCTTCCGTGACTCTGGTTTTAAATGCAAATTCACCGTGTACGTACTGAACTCACTATCTAATCTTTTCGGTAAAGGTTAGAAGGACTATATAAATAAATAATCGTTTTCAGCACGCAAGTTTATATATCTACTTACGATAAGACGGTTTACAAACTGTTTTTATTGCTTTTATCTTCCTTCTAGCTATTTACTATAAATAAGTACTAGATTAACGATATAATTTCTTGCACATTCAATTAAAATTATGCTTATTTAAAACTAATATTAATTAACTTATTTACTTAATTTTAACAATGGCTCGATGTCGCATGCTTTGCAGCAGTGACCGTCATGACTTTATTTTGAAAAAAAGTGGCATTCCGTCTGTCCCCTAGTCCCCTTGTAACCACGGCTGCTACAAAGCACCCGAGCGGTTCTAGATCGCTTATTTATGGGATAGTATAACAGTTTTTATTTTGATATAAACGTTAGGTAATAATAGGATTTTTTAGTCTACAGTGTTTATAATTATTATAATAATATTATTATTGAATAATATTAAACTATGTCGACTTGACTTTTAATCAAACAACACAATCATTGAATTCCATTATTAAATTACTGTAATAATAAATAAGTTTTTTTTTTATATTTACTAGCCTTCCTCGATAAATGTAAATGCACCAACACAAATATATTTTTTTATTCGAACCAGAATTACCTAAGATTAGCGCGTTCAAACAAACAAACTCTTCAGAAAATGACAAGACCAAGTTCTTGGCTATTTATATGTTTATTTGTTCATAGTACTCGCTTTTTCTTCTATTGAACTGTATTTAGCATGACCCATCGCAGTTATGATATCTTCCTTTCATTAACGTCATTTTATTGCGCGTCGAACTGTATAGAAGATAAATTTTATGGCAGATACTGGTCAAATGGCGCAATGAAATAGCCCTTAAACCCACCACAGCAGCTTTATAACAACGATAAAATAACTAAATAAACTATTAATAGACTGTTGGATCGGATAATCACTGTTTTTACTCTAATAAATATAATGCGGAAACATTGTATGTTGTATGCGTTTGTACTAAATAAAAAACGATAAAGTTTGAAAGAGTATTAACCGTTTTAAACATTGGACTTTATGAGTTGGCACGCTTGCCATCCCACCGAAGTATTTCGTAAAATAAATATACTACTTTGTTCCAGCTTATACTAAAATATTCTTTATTCCACTGCTATTAAGAAAAATAAACATTGTCAGTAGTTTCGCCCACGCGCATTAAATTAAACACTTCAATGCCCAATATGTTTGTTTAGATATTTTAATCTACGAATTGTAGTTTCGTCGAACACATCGAATAAATATCATTAATATCAGTTCATTAATGTGTGCTAGTTGTGGAGGCCACAAATATTTTGTTTCTTTGTTGCTTAACGAGTATATTCTTGGATGAATACTGTTTTCCGACTCAATAAATGTATTTACCTCGAAAAAATAAATTATAAAGACTTCAGTTTTCCACTTACTATTAAAATTATTTCCCAGCTTAATTCCAGGTCCATTGCAAAAACGCGTAAAGGCTCTCATGCGAAGCACTTGTCAATGGAGTTAATCCGACCGAGTACTGCTCAAGCGTGCTTATGGGAAACGCCTTCAATTTTTATTTTGCGGCTTTTTAAATAGCGTTGATAAAAGTGTGCATATGTATTAAGTATAATAGTGCAATTGTTTTCTTGTTCCGAATTTAAATATTAAAAAAACTAATACTACCTTCTGTTTCTACAAGTCTCTTCTTGTATGTTGGATATAAAGAAGATATACTCTAAGCAGGACTGCATATAAAACTATTCTACCTTTTAAATTAACCAGTTATGAACAATAATACTTATCACACCTTGTAAAATCGGCATTAGCATCACTATTTATGTAGCAATATTTTAAGTTTTTGTACAGAAAGAAGGTTAATAATTACACATTGATTAGGCACAATCTAATCTACAGTTATGGTCTAATAATATGGTCTCTCTATGGTGCTAACATCAGTTATACGATGGATATTAAAATCTTTTAATTATACGAAACAAAGGCCATCGATTTGTGTCGGTGCTTTTTCTTGATTTTAATTAATTTTTCTGTTTGTTTGAGTCTTGCGGAAATGTGTTTTTTTAACTATTATTATTCTGCCAACACACGCCTAGGTAGAAACGACTTCGATGTGTAGAATCGGAAATGCCCCAAGAAAATATTGCTCGATTGCGGAATTCCTGTAGCCGCTGTATCGAGAAATACATTTCACAGAGCGAAACCTCAGGCCGAGATGAATTACGAAATGATAGCAAGTATCCCAACGAGGCTATCACAAAAGGCTGCAAAATCAATTCGTACTGCGACGCATGTACTTGGCAATATTTCAAATTCTCTTTGATGCAATATTTCCTTCCCCCCCCCCCCCTCGCTTGGTTATGTAACGGACACCATACTGTCGACTGTCCACATTTGTCGAGATCACAATTTCTTAAGTGCTATGTCGTTATATAATGTTTAATCATAAGTATGTCTTATAGAGGAATATTCGATAATATTTCTAGTTGAGAAAATAGTCTAGTAGATGGGATACTAAAACATATTCAAATTTAGTCCGCCTGCCGGAAACCTAAAGCTTAACTATGATCGC